AAAGTTTCCAGCAATACTTGTTTCAATGTGGCATATTTGCATTTAACTTTCATCTAATAGAATATTCTCTTTCCATGCTCTGACGTTTTAATTTGTTAAGGCTAAAATTGGATTATCTTTCTAAAGTTGTTATTTTATTCTATGTTTAGGGACAAATTCTATGAATGTCAATAATACCAATAATAGAATCATTCAAATACGTGTACGTTTGTCACTTTCAAACTTTGTACTTATATTTACAAGAGTGTTTTGAACAATAAATAAATGACGTTCTGAAGTACGCAAAAGAACTTATCTCCGTGAATTTTTATTCTGCATAAACGTGGTTTTGTTCATAAGAGAAGAAGCAAAAAATTCATATATGAAAGAATTGTGGCCCCCATGCGATGCAATCCTTTGATGACATATTTTTTTAGTTTCGATGCAACGATGCAAACGCATACTTCATATTTCATATCGCACTTGCATCGTTCCACCAAATAGAAAACGCTACGCCATCAAAAGATTGACCCGCATGGGGGATTCGACTTTTTCATGTATGAAATTTTAGTATCTCCAATTAAAAAAGAAAAGGATTCGACATTTTCATGTATGAAATTTTAGTATCTCTAGTTGAAAAAGAAAAGGTATAGTCCGGGCCACGATACAGCGAGGTCGTAAACTCGAGTAGGTGTCACGTCAGTAAGTTTACACGTTTCAGTTTCCGAAACAAGTGAATTGACAAAAATACGAGCAGCTTAGGGCCTTAGAACATAGTCAGGGCCGTTCGAAGAAATGTGTTATCTAGTGTTGCCATTTTTAGAGGTATCGTAACAGGTAAAGGTCTTACTCAAGTCTTTAATATCTTAATTTACCTGCTTATAATATATGCATGTAGAAAATGAAAAAAGATAGTGCAGTTACGGACACAAAAAGACATTTAGAAAGGCACCCTCAAGCAAGATGTCATGTACGGCCCTAAGTACCGCAGCAGTAGTCGGTCCCAACCCTCAAGAGTTTAGTTTATGACCTCGCTATATCGTGGCCCGGACTATACAGCTTGTTCCAGTTTTTAGAATCACCCAGTGCGATATTAAAGTAAGAGTTTTAACAAGAAGCGGCACGAAACGAAAACAAATTCATTTCTATTAAAACAAAACCAGGTTAATGGGATCAATTAAATCATATTAAATAAAATATTCTCGATCCTATCTGTATTCCTGTTTCGTCGTTCTATGTCCACGCGACCACGTACACTTATTCCCGATGAAAAATGGTTCCCAAGGCCACTTAGCAGAATATGCTCGCGCTCGCGCGGAATCACGGACGAAGCTGTTCATCTCTCGAGATTGGAAAAAGTCCATATATCCTGTTCCACTTCCGCGGAAAGCGTGTACATCCGCGTTCCAGCCAAAAGCAGAGCCCGTACCTGCGCGAGAACGGAACGATACCGCGGTGATGAATTGAAATATCGATTTGGAATCTCTATATAGCCGTGTATCGCGCTGGTCAGAATAGAAAACCTGTTGATTTTGCGTAGAGCGGATTCGCGGTGGCAGCAGCCTCGGCGATCCTTCATTGTCGTCGATTCGGACACCAAGTTTGTTCCGCACGCAAACGAGATCTTAGAAATTCCCTTTCCGTTTCGCGACTCGCGGCGAAAAGGATGAAAACGTATACGCGTAGCCTAGGAACTGTCGATTCAGCAGCTTCTGTTCCGTCCGGTCAGTTCGGGTTTTTTCCGCTCGTTTATGGTGCCAGATGCGGAACCTTGACTTTGTCGAAAAGGTCTTCGAACATTCCGTATCTGGCAAATTTCATCGTAAAGCATTCAAGCGCTTTAGCTTTTCGAAAGCGTAAGGCCCGAGTTGACCGACGAAAGGCTGCATTGTTTCGCGGGTGGCACGGTCCTCTACAACGACCGTCGCCAACTCGTGGAACAATGCAGCCATAAAACGTCTGCAATTCACGTGTAGCTAGGCGTAATTCGGAGTCTCGTTTTTTCCTCGGCAAAATTAACGGGGTCTTCGACTTGAGGAGGAAACCTCGGTCACCCTCGTCCAGGGTGAGATGGGACTCTTCCTCCTCCACGATCGCGTGAGGGAGGAGTTTCCTGGCCAACGGGGCAGGAAAATCGATCCTCCTCCCCCAAGTCGATGGCCAATCGATAAACTAAAAAAGTCACCGCGATTCGGTTGACGAACCCCCAAAATCGCGTCTCGGAAGGGGTTCGAGCCGAGGAGGAAACGGGCTCCGGACACTTCGACACTCGTCGCTGAAAGTTCGAAGTCAACGTTTCAAAATCTGCAGTTCCATCATTTCGGGAACACTCGTCATTCGATCTCCGAAGAAATTCTTCTTAGAAAGTTCAATCATCTCGTGAACCATTCGTTGTTCGATTATCATAACGCAAAAATCGGAAGGTTCAATCATTTGTGAACCACTCGTTGTTCGAACATCATTTCGGGAAATCTACAGCTCAAGCGGTTCGTGAGCAACTCGTCGCCGAAAACTCAGAGAAAACGGTCGAAATCTTTGACTCGTCGCCGAAAACTCAGAGAAAACGGTCGAAATCTTTAACTCGTCGCCGAAAACTCAGAGAAAACGGTCGAAATCTTGAACTCGTCGCCGAGAGCTCACAGAAAACGGTCGAAATCTTCAGGTCAAGCGGTTCGTGAGCAACAATTCGTGATTCGACATCAAAGAGAACATTCGTATTTCGATTCGAAACAATCCGACAATTCAATAATCGCTCAAGATTAATTTGGCGAGCGACGGCTAGGAACCCGCGTACCACGAGGGTTAAGAGGACTTTACAACCCCTCAGAGTTTAAAAGAAAACTCACGCGACTACCTGGCCAGTACCGCCGCGACGGTACGATTCAGCTTCTGTACGAAATTTGTGGGCGAAGTAAGGTTTGGGTAAAATTCGAGTTTTTAACACTAGAACTACCAAACCAGTCAAAATGACCCATTCGTAGTTTCTAGTAAAACCTGTAAAAAATTTACTCGACTGAATTTTTGGATCGTAATTTTCTATAAGAGAATGAATAAATACTTATTTCCATTGCATTACACATTTCTTCACGCACCTATCGTTTCAATTTCCTTGATACAAATGAACACACTATAATTGTCGGTAGTTCTAGTGTTAAGCACATCCGTTATACGCACCCATTGCCGGCCGCCTCGATGTATCTATAGAAACAATAAACAATCGGCGATTCAACGCTACACACACGCTGCCACAGTCACGTAAGTACGTATAGACAGAATTCATTGTAGTAGCAGCGATCTTTTTGAAGAAAAATCTCGGAAATTAAGGCCGAGCGGCGGTTATATGTATAGAGAAAAAATCTTCATAACAGTAACCTTGACAACATATTTCAAGGTCATCGAAATTCGTGAGGAATCGCTAAAGTAAATAATTACCAAAATGCAGAACAGAAAACCTGTTGATTTTGACGTGAACTTTGTTTCGTACGCGAACGAGCACTTATGGGTTTTCCGTTGATCGCGTCCAACTCCCCGAAAAGATTTCGCGTCTCGCGGTGCTGGTCTCCCCGTCTTTTCCCAGTGTTTGTTATTCGAGACGTCGTAATTAACGCGGCGAACTGTTGTATAATAAAGTACGACTGACATAATTAACGGCGCTCCGCATTTCGTGCTACCGGTTTGAAAAGAGCTGAAAGTAACTTGGTCTTATCCCGAAGCTCGTTCGTGCTCTCTTTCGCATCCTGGCCCTACGGTTCCTCCCCCTATTTCGTCCCGTCTCCCTCGGTTCCTCGTTCTCCGCAGGTTCTTTGCGTCCATAAATAATTCAGGTGCTCAGGATGTCGTAAAGACATTAACGAAGGCAAAAGCTTTTAAGGGCGGCCCGGCTGAATCCTGAACTCGTTACGCGGCTCTTACGATAATAACTCGCAATCTTTACCAACGGTCTATTGTCCAGCGATATATGTATTTACGTTCGACGCGATTTTTTCCTCCGACGAACCCACGCTCAGCTGGGATAATGAAAGTTCATCACACTTTCGAGCGATACTTGGCTATACTGGATGCTAGTTTTAGCAGACGGAGTTTAATAAGCGTCCAGAGGCTCGATCAGAACAATTTTAGTACACTTTGTGCGCATGGAAGAGATGTTTAGTGTATCGCCGTATCTCGGAAGTTTACTCTTATACCTTAGTCTACGGTAATATAACGCGACTCCACAGTAAATAATTTTAGACGATCTTCAGCTTTAATAATTTATGCGGTGCTTGTTTGAGAAATTTTGACTGATGATTAATCTTTACCATAGACCTCTACAGGGTACCCGGCCACCCATGGAAAAAATTTTAATGGAAGATTTTGGAGGCCAAAATAATACGAAAATCAAGAATATCAATTTCTTGATTAAGGCCTCGTTAAAGAGTTATTAAAAAATTTCAAATCATTCTGAAAAAATTATTTTTGTTTACGGAGATCAATTACAATCATTTTTGGTGTGTAGATACACCCCCAAAATTCTACGTACTTTCGAGAAAAAAATTCTTTACCGAAAATATACTGTGTGGTCGGAAATGTTTCTATAACTTTTTAATGAAGCCTCAATCAACAAATTAGTATCCTTGACTTTCGGCTTATTTTGGCCTCTAGAATCTCCCATTAAAATTTTTCCCAGCGATGGCCGAACACCCTGTATATTATAGATATATAGCGTTCGAAATAATTTTAACAAGAAATAAATGTATTTAATGTTTAATTATTATAAGTAGACTGCGGATCTTCATGCAAATTCATATTTTTATTAATAGGATTAATGAAATGGAAACTTCGTAAAGGGTTGTCTCAACCCCTAAATATAATAATTCGTATCTCACTTTAAGTATTTATTATACTTTTGCACATTAAGTGCATTCTGTAGTTTTTTAAAAATTAAAATTTCCCATAAATGCATAAACATTAGCAGTGTAATTATAAGACAACCATTCGTGTTAGCATGCAAGTAACCGTTGCCTTTCAATTTTATTTTTCAGATTCCGACTTTCCCAGGTTCGCTGAGGAGATACAAAATGTGACAGTGAGCAGAGGTCACGATGCATTGCTAGCTTGTATAGTGGACAATCTACGAAATTACAGGGTAATTAATATTCTATTTAAATACTAATCAGTTATAAATAAAAGAATACTTTCAGTTCATTACTTATATTCAGTTTTCCATATTTATTTTTGAACCATGCTTTTGAACTTACAAGACATGATAAAATATATCCATAAACGATTGAAGATTACATTGCAATTAGCACAGAAAACGCTAGGTTTGACACGTGTACGGTTGCTCAAAAAATATACGAAAGTTCAGGTATCAAGTTCTATATAATCAGCAGTTGTAAAGTAATATTTGTCGACCGGGGTCTGCGAGACCCTTCTAAGGTTAAGCAAAGCTTTTTTACGCTCCGGTTGGTAATGAAACGCGAGGGATGGGCAGAGGCTGGTAATTCTATCCCGTGACTCGCAACAACGTCAACTTCAGCCGGCTACGTCGTTCGTTACGTCAATGGAAATACATCATGGACCGTGTCACGTTGAATTATTAAAGTAATACAGTAACGACGCCGGTTCGCGCGATCCTCCCATGCGATTCGGTGTTCCTTGCACGCGTAAAGAGTTAACGCGTCTCTTATTACCATTCGCGGGGCTGATATTTTCCAGAGGTAATTAACGGGAACGTGAAACATAGTACGTCGACGAAGGAATGCTCCTTAATGCAAAGGAAGTGCTGCGAAGTGCTGCGAAGACTCAGCGAAAATTATAAGAAACTTTATAGAAAGTCTTCCTTTGCCTTCCAGGAAATATTACTGCTATTATTTTAATATACATGCTTTATTACGTAAGAGTTCGAGAGACGTCGTGTGCTTAGAAATACTGTTACATAAACCGTGACTCTACCTAAACACTAACCTAGATGTCAGGTCTGCCCGACGTGTATATTTCCATTTAATATCAATTTTACGTGGGCTTTGATTTAAATATATTTATCCTTTGAATTAGATTCCACCGGCGTGAATAGTTTGTTCGCTTTGCTCCTTCGCTACGAATTTGCGTTTTAATTAAACGCAAACCCGAATCTAAAGGAAATTGAAATTTTAATCTTAAACGAACAATAACTATTACGTTTTTTGTCTTCTTATATTCTGAAAGGGCTTCAAGACTTTTCGAACGTAGGAGCCGTGAAAACAAGTATTGTCATCGAAACAACGAATTGGCTGCGTAAAAGGAAGCAAATCTTTTCGTTTTCTGAAATAAACTGGCTGCGTTTCGTTGTCCTGAAGGTCTGAATCGATACTCGCAGTATTCCCCGCATATTAAGAAGCAGCCAGTATTGTCGCACCGTATTCGAGAAACTTTGAGCGTGTTTCGTATACCCACAAAAGCTCCTCGTTCACGTCGAAGCCTCAGCTACGAAGGAGAGAAAACGAGAGAGGGTTCTAAGCCTTCTTATACTTATCCTTCTATTCTCTGTATCCCGTAAAGGTTTCGAAGATCCACGGAAGGATACGGAATACAAGCCATCCGGTGTATTGGATTAAGCGAGCGATAAGAAGGAAGGGGTGTGTTATATATGGGGTCCAAAGTCCGGGGAAAGGGAAACTGCATGAATAGAATTCTCTGAGAATGAACATACGGGCGATTCTATAAGTGTAACTGCACATCGAAATTCCTTGTACTTTCCAATTCTTACTTTCGAGCTTGCAAAATTTATCGGATGTCTTGGGAAACTAACACCTGGAAAAGTTTCACCTCCTATCATTCTATGGTTTTCGGAAAATTGAATGGCGAAAGTTTGGAAAAATTCGGTAAAGCGATTCGATGCATAAAATAAAGCCGCGGAAACTTTGACTCCTCCTATCAGTTACAAATTTTACCTTTATCGTTTCTTTTCTGGTTTCGCTTGGGGAGAAACTAATTTTTTTTAAATATATCTTCCGTCACAGCAAATGGAAATATTATTTGAAGCGCTGCATAACGACTGATTTCGTACAAAGTAATAGCAAATTGTATATTCTTCGTAGAAAATGTACCGTCTACCTCCCACATTTTACAAAGTGGTTCTTACAATGTGGTAGACCGAGAAAGAAGCGTTTCTCCATAATAAATAGATGCACTTGGACAACTTAGGAAAGATCGAGCTTCTATTTCCACCAGGAATCTTCGTGGATCCATTATTCTCTCCAGTTCTTCTAGCGTTTTCTTGCAATTCTAAGTCTAATCCTACGAACGTACAGTTCTTTTACTTGCTACTGTCAAAAGGTTAAAAATTTTAAAATATCAGCACTCTCGTTCAAACAATTTCGAAGATACTATTTATTAAAGTTGGTCCCTATCATCTATTTACTCTCATAGCAGACAAGTCACTCTATCAGCTATTTCTCCTAAATTTTCAATCAATAAATACACGACTATTCAAGAATCCCAACATAATTATGCAGTAGACTATTCTTTGGTAAATGTACGGATTATATTTCACACAAATAAAGAACTCACAGTCGTGACGTCGATACTAAACATTGATAAATTGTATTACAACATCACACATGGTTGTGTTTATTAAAAATCAAAAACAAATTTTTAAGAAAAGTCAACAGGGGATGGAGAAATTTTTCGACAAAATGAAAAAATTTCAAATCACTTTGAAAAAATTACTTTTGGTTGTGGGGGTCAATTACAATTATTTTTAGTGAAAGCCCTTTGGAGAAAAAAATTCTTTACTGAAAATATAATGTGTGGCCAGAAATGTTTGTTATTTCATTTTCTGTCTCACTTCCTCTTGTATTCATTTCTGTAACCTGTTGGTGATGTTGCGAGTGACACGAAAGTGGTAATGGGGCTCTAAAGCCCCAAAAAAATGAACCGAAAAAATACATTGGATGTAAGGTCTATTCGTATATCTCGTTTTTATCTCTTCATATCTAGGTATAGTCCAATTATCCGGCATATTTAATTTTCTGGCATTGCTCCAGTCTCTAGTTTGCTGGAAATTTGACTGTACAAGTGACTGTATTATTTTCGTAACAAGTCGCGACTTTATTGTACATTCTCTGAACATACGCCTACGCATGTTTGTTTTAGGTAGGATGGGTACGCGTCGATACACAGACTATCCTGTCCATCCACCATAATGTCATCACACAGAATCCACGGATCTCGTTGTCGTACAATGACCATCGTACGTGGTACCTTCACATAAAGAAGGTTGAAGAGGTGGATCGTGGGTGGTACATGTGTCAGGTGAACACGAATCCGATGAGATACAGACAGGGCTACCTGCAGGTTGTAGGTGAGCATAGAATAAATATTGTATTTTCGTGTTCCACGTATGGCGCCTAAATATCTGAAATTCACAAGGGAAGAGTACTTGCAAGTTTTAAACGACTCTTTTTTTGTAAATTCCAGACAAAAACGAAGAGCCTGTCCGATGACAAGCATTCAATTATAAAGATATTCGATATCAATTTTACATTACAATTTAGTCAAGGTTTAACTTCCAGAATTTTGTTTCGGTTGCTGATTGCGAATCTGAAGTGAATTTATGAATCACAAGTACTGGTATAAAAACAAAAGAAGCTTTTCGAACGTTGCAATGCCGATTACGTGATGTCTCCTTCAACAATTTGAATCGTGACACAAATTTCTTTCGAATTATTGGTATTAATTTTGGTCCAATTTATTATAAACATGCCCAATTAACCACAGATTTATGTCTTGTTCGTTTGATTGAGCGAATTCTGGCTGAGGACAGTTTATCGATAATCTCTTCTATTTAAACAACGACGCGACGACGCGAAACATAATTAATCCCGCGATGCAAACTTCGAAGTTTGTAAACTATTTTATAAAACCCTGAAGAAGTTGAGGGAATGACGCGCGCAAATATTGACGTAAAACAACGCAGCGACATTGATATGTAACGTATAGTCGTTTATGTGATAAAAGGTAAAATAAACATATGGTATTTCTCAGCCATTCGACTCTTTAACAATTATTTTAATTGCTGGCCAATTTCAGTATAAAATTAACGTTTCGATTCAAGACAGAATTATTCGTTTCAAGTGAAAAGGGTTGATATTTCATTAGCGGGGAATGCAAGACTGGTAGGATATTTAAAAAAATATGCGTTTGAATGATGAAAAGTATACGCGAACTAATTTCTCTGTGAAACAACGCGCGATAAAAATCTGAGGGTTCTGAATTGTTTTTCCAGTATGAAATTTTTATGGAGACAGAGCACAAGACTGGATAAAAGTTTGAGAAAATATGTCTCTTTCAAAGGGGTCATAGTATTAGATTATTAAGTTAACATCGATCTGTTCGAAGCCTGCTTGCAAAGTGGGGAACTTCATCACTTTATAGGATGAAGAAGAACATTATCTATTCAATTTTCGCATTTCTCCCTTATTGCAGTGCCACCCTCCATTATCTCGAAAGAAACCAGCACAGACATGGTCGTTCGTGAGGGTTCGAACGTAACGCTGATGTGTAAAGCTTCCGGATACCCGGAACCTTACGTCATGTGGCGCAGAGAGGACGGAAAGAACATAAACTACAATGGCGAGAGCGGTGAGTTTTGATCCATCAATTTTCCCTGACTTTAATTGACGATCAGATGTGACAACGTCGATTTTTCGAGATTAAAGTAAATTCGGACCATAAACTCAGCCAGGGCAGGCTTGTATTAAAAACGCCCACTTCGACAGTGACTTATTGAAACGCTTCTTGTTACAGAGAAGTTAATAATTAATATTCTAGAATTTTAGTAAGTTAATTTGAATCAATGAAAAGTCGATCGATGTAATCGAAATGGCTTGTAACAGTTTTATTGAGAGAATCAATATGTACTTATTGACCAGATTCAGAAATAGTAGCAGCGAAATTCAATATTTTTCAGTACAAATGCCAAGTAATCATGTATTACTCCCAGACATGCTTCTTTTATTTAACGTTTAATCTTGTGCATTTCGAGCCATCTTTAGAATACGAATCTGTACAAAATTAAGTTTATAATTATTTAAGAAAAATAGAGAAGAAACTGCGTCCTCGTGAAAAGGACGATTAAATATTCTCGTATTTGCATGAAGTTTGAAAATTCTTTCTCGCTTGGGAGCAATCGTCCATAAATTTCTGCTTTGCTTAAGGTATTGGTCTATGTTGAAGAACGTGTTCGACATAACGCGCTTGGGAAGTTGGAACGAGGAAACGTTGCACTTCAAACGGCAATTGAAATGTGTGCTGTGTCAGGCAAACAGGCTATTCCGGAATATCCGTATCTAAATTAGTTTCAGAAATTGCTGTTTAGAGGTCTAACATTAATATATCAATAAAATTGAATGACGACGTAGATACCTTCTTAGCAGAATCGATGAAATATTCAATCAGTTATCATTAGCTTCTTTGAGAGATTATTACTTTTTAAAACTTAGTTTTCAATTAAACTATTATTGCCTGTCATTTATCTTCAAAAACTCGAATCTCTCTTTTATTTTAATAATCGAAGAACGAATCTCCACAGATTGAATTATAATTTGAATCGTTCGCAGAACAGTTTAACCTGCAACGGTTCTAGTATCCTTCATTCGTGGCGATCGATACGGTTTGACATAACGCGAAAAAATTTATACGGAAGCGCCCTTTCAAAGAATAAATATTTTATCGTCGACGATCGCAAATAATCGATCTTCCAGGTAGCTTCTGTTTATCGTGGCACGGTCCTAAAAATAGCCGTGCAGCTTAAGAATATAGCCCTCTACGGACGAGGTCGACTCGATCGATGCTAATTACTTTCTTAATTACTAATTATGGCGAGGGTGAGAAGTGCGACACTGGCCTCTGTCTTTCGTGCACACACACACACACACACACACATATATTTTCTCTCTGTCTAGCGCACGTACATTAGCGAGCAAAGATGTACAGGGAAGCGGGACGTCAGACAGTCTGTCGGTTTCAAAGGATTTTCTCAATATCGGATAAAGGCCGGATTTAATTTCTGCTCTAATTTAAATTTTCATTGCCCTCGAGGTATACTCAGGCTCAGACGCTCAGAGAAAGCTTTCGAAGCTTGCGTCTCGTCCTAACTCTACCGTATAAACTGTCACTGATAAATATGTATGCATCGAATCGTTTTCGTGTGGGGAAAAAAGATACTGTGTCGCATTGTCCGTTCGTGAACAATTGAAGAAACGCGGAGCTGATTATAATTTGAAAGCAAGTGACGCTCGAAATATTTCTCGACGATCTTTTTGCACCGGAGATATTTTATGGAACAATATTTCTGCTCGTGACGCAGCAAAACCTCGGAAACGTAGTATTCGATATCAACGCAAGTACAGAAATTTACATACGAAGAAATAAAGTTATTTAATTTCACTTGCACGATAAATTGCAAATAAATAAATAAATACTTTTGTTTATACGTTGACTACAAAGTAATTCACGAGCATGCAGAAATTATACAAAATCAGTATCTTAAAATATCCGACGAGTATTACTAAAATATTTATTTTTTTATTCAAAATGTGAACGAGGGAAATTGAAAAATTTTCGATAATCCATCGTTCTCGATGTTTTGATAATTCATTTTATACATTCTGGTTTTTCCCACCAACGAACTAGAGCTTTTTCCACCTCTACTGTGTAAACAATTTTTACCATAGTTACACAAGCTCGTTTGATCAGAAACTTTTTGCCAGGGCTCGTATTAACCCCCTCACATCCGCTCACATCTGCAGCGTTGCGCAAACTACCCGGTACGATCTATCATTACTCTATTTAAACTAATTTGCATAATTTTCTATGTCTCAGAAACTCACGATGAGGCTCGTTTCAAACTTTCACCATATATTCTGAATGAATTACTTTACGTACGCGAGGCTATAAAATCTAGAAGCAGTTCTGCATAAAGTATTTATTGTGCGTTAAACTCGGATTTTAATTGAACTTTCGTAACAATTAGATGAATCATATAATTTAACGCCTATCGTAAAATAATAGAATTCGAATTATAAATTTATGCTCTTACTTGTATTTTATCACGAATAGAAACGCTTCGTTTCTGACTATTAGAAAGTTCGATGTTTTTTTCGGCGACGTTGTACGATGTCGACGTTGTTTGTGAAAACCCTAATCGATTCGCAAAACCCGGCGAGCAATCAACGGGTAATTAGTAGGCGGTATCGTTCGACGAACGTATGTCGAAGAACGCATCTGTTATTATACGAGGGACATGTCATTGGATGGAAGTGTCAGATTATCGACGTAATTGGACAAAATATTACGGCGGCGAATATGGCACGCACTCGAACTGCGCGTTGCTAACTGAGGTGTTGCCCTCTGGGGCTTGGGGACAGTCTAACGCCATCATTCGCCCGTCTGACGGCCTCCAGACACCCTTGGCCCACGACGAAACCATGGTGTCAGTTTCCCCCAGCTCCCTGATCGTCCGTATATTTCACAGACGCGTGTGAAACTCTTGCACCATCTGCAATGGGATAACTTTATCATTAAAGTTTCTTCTGCTTCTTCTTTAACGAACCATGTAAAGTAATAATTTAAAAATGAGAAGTGTAAATTTTAATGCTTGGGTAAGATCGTAACGTGAAACTAATTTTATTTCCTGTGAATAATTTTTGATGGTGAACCGAATGAATTTAGAAAAAAATTGTTAGTAATAAAATAGTCCCGAGACTTTTCCACAGTACTGTACACCTGAGCTTCCTCAACGCCACTCCAGGCCACCGTCGTGCCCCGGAAAGTGAAAAAGAATGGCCAACAGAGATGAAAAAGCAAATCGAATTTTGTAAAACTCTCGCGCGTTCGAAGGTGTTTTTAAGGAATGGGATCAAGATAGTGAGTAGTAGGGGAGAGAGAAGATTTACTTCTTAGGTCCCAACCGATCGCACAGAAACCCGATAAAAGACTGAAAAACATGGGGAGGAAAAAGGCGGGAACGGAGGAATCTCGAATTGGAAGAATAAGTCTGGTAAAGAATCGCGTGTTTTTTAAATAAAATTCAAATTGAAAAGGGGCGCTTTCCATATAAAAATACGATAACAAGACATTTTATTAATGTAACGATTTTTGGTAAGATTTTCACGGAAGTTCGTAGCAACATTTTTCCTTTAGTTTCTGACGAGGAGTCACTTGTTCGAGTTTGTAACGCGATTTCTGCCAGCGGGCCGCTGGAAAACAGGAACCTACGAGCGAATTCCTGTCCCCGGGTCGGCAAAAACAAAAGGAGAGAAAGGTCAGGCCACGGATATCGATATAGACGGCACGGAAAAATCGAATCTACGTTGTACTCGCTTTGCGCGCAACCCCGGAGCATCAAACGATGAGGGAAACTTGCGGCCAAACTGTACCGACGTCGATCCTCGTAGCGAAGAGACGAGCTTATCTTGTTGCCGTTTGAGGTTCCTTTGTACTTACTTTCGAAGGCACGGACGAAGTCAGTGTTCCACGCAAGATCAATATTGTCTGGCAAATTTCGCGTCCAAAGGTAGAACCGAATAGATTCCAACTCCGCTCGGTCCCTATCTCGCGTTTTCCCTTTACTTGCGTATACTTCTATTGTTGTCTTTGTTCTCGCTGTAATTCGTTGCGCCGCTGAGCACGAGGGATTTTTATTTTCCGCCCGATAATCGTCTGGCTGCGTGAAACGAGCAATTTCATCCGGAAAATTCATTCTGCGTATCGAAAGGGAACCATGTTTGATATTTGTCCTTCATTAATTGCAACGTTAGAGGAATTTTTAGGGTCTAAAGGAGTCTTCGATTCGATGCATTCTAATCATTATTTTAATTCGCAAAATACAGGGTGTTCCACATTTTTCCGTGCACACTTCAGCAGTGTTGTTCACGAGTAAAACTAAGACTAAAATGTGATATAACAAAAAAATCATAAATGCTTTGTTAAGAAGTTGTAACAAAAATATGAAATGTGGAAGATATGATAACGCCGTTCCTCTCAGTATAATACAAGAGAAAACGAGATACTGGTATGTAGTGTTGATGTTAAATAACATAAACATGTAAATTAGGATATTCAGTTTGATTGGGCATATGTGATAAATTCTTAATCGGACCTTATTTCCTTCCTGAGCTGTCCACGGGAGAATCTTTTCTAACGTTTTTAACAAATGATTTCCCGCCATTGTTAGAAAATGTATCTTTATCATTCTGTCAAAACGATTGGATACAATTAGATGGATGTCTAGTACATTATGAACGTCGTGTAAAAAATTGGCTTAATAGACACTATCCTCAACAATGAATTGGTCGTAGATCACCTGACCTTCATCCTTTATATTTTTACTTATGGAGCACTCTGAAAGAGAAAATTTACAATACAGAAATGCGTACAAGAGATGAATTAATTGCAAAAATCAATATCCCATGTGAAAAATTTCGACAAAATCACAACCAACTGAAGTCAACAATAAATTCAATAGTATATCGATGCCAAAAGTGTCTCAACAAATGGAAACATAGGTATATTTAACAGCGTTTACATCACATTTCATATTTTTGTTATAACTTCTTAACAAAGCATTTATGGATTTTTTG